TATTCGTAAATATAAAATATAAGATATATATAAATGTAAGATATTTTATGTTTGGTAACCTTGCAAATACACAAGGGCCGTTAGGTGAGCCGGAGGACGTAGATTGATGAAGGAGGAGGAGGAGGAGAAGGAAAATTAGGAGGAGGTGGGGAAGAAAAAGTAGGAGGTGGAGAAGAAGAAGAAGAAGAAGAAGTAGTAGTAGTAGTAGGAGGAGGAGGAGGAGGAGGTGGTGGAGGAGGAAGGAGGTTGTGTCGGTGGTGAGATAGAGTAAGGAGGCAGAAATAGAGCTTATGGGGAGAAGAGGAAAGAGGAGGAGGAGGGGATAGATGACGGAGGACTGGAGGGGGAGGGTGGTTTGCGGTAACGCGGAGGTGCACGTTATTATGTACATTTTTTCTTTCTCTCCAGGAAGATGACCCGACTCAAGGTCTGTCTTCGGCTCGAAAGCCGGCGCGGCGTCCAGTCAGGTGAAGATAATTTGCTCCTGAATTGCAATCATGTAGCCTGGCGGCGTCCGCGGCGGTTTAGGCTGCTGGCACTGAACTCCTCTTCATCAAGCACACGGGAGGTGTTTTCAGGGGAGCCTAGCATTACGGAGATGAAGAAAACACACACGAATGCAACGAAAAATAATAAGTTGGGGGAGAATCTGAAGCGAATGCCAAGAAAAAAAGACACATGTAGTAAGTCTCTGTGAATAATACCACTATATACCTGTATTTAGATGCAGACACCCACACGCACACGCGTAAGCACATGCACACTCACATGTACACGCACGCGCGGGCACACACACACACACACACACACACACACACACACACACACACACACACACACACACACACACACACACACACACACACACACACACACACACACACACACACCGCCAAATCGCAGCGCAGGAGACATTTTGTAGCATGACTATAAACAAAAGCCAAGTAGGATGTGGGAGAACTAGGTAAAAAGAAGACTCGAAAGGCGTGGGAAAGACGCAGCCCACCTCCCCCCCTCCACCCCTCTTTCTTCCTGCTTGGATTCATTCACACTTTCCTCCCTCCTCCTTCCGGAGAGGTCAACCACACTCCCTCCCTAATCCTAGGTCACACGTGTGTATCAGTAATCTGATGACCGAATGGGTTTTAGCGGATTATCTTTACATATCACTGATGCACGGAGCGCACGTGATAAAGCAGAGGCAAGAACATGAAAACGGAGGCAAGGAGGAATCCCGATTAAGATATGCTCGACGGCGAGGGGGCGTCGGAGGGGAACGCGCTCGTCGCCGGGCGAGCCACGGACGCCAGCATTCTTCCTCGCTCAATTTCGGGAAAAAAGGACTCTTCTTGTAAGAAGACAAGAAGCCGGTGGATACGACGCAGAACGCTGATGTTGTTATGGGCGAAGGCGCAGTTATAAAGGGTGGGAAATTCTCCCCTCGTGACGCTTCGACAGAGCCTTGTCATGGCCCGAGATTCCAATGGCTGGTACACGCGGTGGCGCTGCCGGACCGGAAGGGGAATTACCCAAGCCTGCGGTCGCGGCTTCCGAAACAGCGGCCGTCGCTGAGTTAGAGCGTCACGGAGACGTCAGAATGATGTTGCTAAAATATGTTCCCTTTCTCGACATCAATTCTGGCAAGGATATGACGGTGTTCAGGTGAGTGAGCGCGCACGAGCTTTACGGATGCAAGTAATGCTCCAACTGCGCAGGAAGGCAATGGAGGGGGCAGGGAAGCATGGCCTTCGGAATGGAAAAACTCTATCGCCACTTTTTGTAGCTGTTGGAACAGCCCTCTAGGCGAAGTACTCTATAAACTCTCCTAAATTTGGGAATAACAGAGCAAATCGCAAGGCAAAAATACAGAAGATCCGGCCACAATTCCTCATTTCCGCAGTTTATGAAATTACTCAGCCAGATGGCGCGATCACACTGCGGGAACACGTTGCCGTTTTTCCCTTTGTCGCTGATATTTTGGTAACCTCCCAAGTGTAC